CGGCAATAAGAAAACGTGTCGCCCTCGGAAAAAAATTTATTGCCGGTAAAATCGCCATCGTATCGATTTCTTAACACCAGTCGCGCTAAAATGTCCGCCGAACCAACCCGCCTTGGCGAGTCCTTTTCTTATTACCTGAATGAGTCGTTTTCTTATCGCTTCAGGCGATATTGGAATAATTTTATTCTTTTTAACACTTCATTTTTTTTTTGTATACAAAATTGCAACTTGGAAACGGAATTAATTATTTCTTTCGCTATAGGGCTTCCTATTTCAATCATGTCTTTGGTATAAATTAGACGCTTTTGGAAAATACTTTTGACGCGAAAATGAAAGAAATGATGTTGCCGATTTGTCACCATGGCAATAAATCGGTGACGCGCCTATTTGTTGCCATTGACGATTGTCGCATAGTTCTCACGTTATGCAGTGAAAATGCTTATGTTGGTATGACCAACAATTACAATAGAACTAATAACATTTATTTAGCAAAAAAAGCAAGGAAAACTAAGTGCAAAGTTTTTTTTAGATCAAAATAAAAATCAGAGAAAAATTCACACTTGGTCTTATTTTTACTTTTTTAATACTTCGGTCATTTCATTGAAAAGAGGAAAACGACATAAATTTTAATATGGCCTAATTATCTCTATTTCAGTAGTAATCTCTTTTAAAATAACTAAATTTCATTAACCTGTGGGAAAATATCAAAAAAAATTAAAAGAAATTGTATATTTTGTCTATGGAAACTTTTATTTCATGCATAATAACTCTACTCCAGTCACAAGGAGATGTTCCACCAGTCACAACTTTAAATATTTTTTAATATTTCTATGAAGATTATATGAATAAACCTAATTTTTATTGAAAACGAAAGCGTATAATTCATGTTTTACAACACAAAAACAACGTAAGTGAAGATTACGTATTTTGGCTAAAATTTAACGTTGAGTGCGCAAGGGTCAAATAGAGTTATCTTCAGTGTCCCACCAGTCACATTCATTCAACTTAAAGAAATAACTTGGCATTTTTGTTAACGCAATTTTATACATTAGTTATCGTTCTATGTTAAAAAATATCTTTCGCTATTGTAAATGTCCAACCAGTCACAATGGAATGGCCCACTTACAATTTTTCTGACTTTTTTTCGGATTTGATTAATGCCCTCGCTGCCGTAGCCGAGTGCTTAGATGTCCCTACCGCCACTCGGCAAGCCCAAGAATAAGTTTTTTTTTCAAATAGCAATCGCCCCGCGGCAGACAATAGCAAACCTCTGGGTGTACTTCTGCCATAAAAAAGCTTCTTCCGAGGTAGAGTAAAAGTGTAGATCTCTCAATTTGTGTCACAACATCAAGAAGCATAACGCGGATTGTACTAGACGATTTGAATTTATGCTGTTTTTCAAAACATTTTTCGCTGTAGCGATTTTGCCTTTTTGAGAGTTTTTATTACTTATGGTTCTGATAAATATTGTGGTATTTGTTTTCGTTTTTGGTTGAAATACAGGCAAAATTTTATTTATTTCATTAATGTTCTGTTTTACATTGAATAATAAGTGTTGAATTGAAGAAATAAATTTTTTTGCTTAATATTGCCTCACTCGATTTTTTATGCGGTTTTTTAGAATTTTTGTATATGGAGTATCTGAATTTATGCGGTTTTTGAAAATGTTTGAGCTCATACTCGGTTTTTGTATGGAAGTAAAGAACTTTTTTATGCGAATTTTTTTATGCGGCTTTCTGAGGAACGCATGTACCGCATAGAAAAAATACCCTAGTGTACTGTTCATCCCCAAACAACCTAGGATACAAATCTAAAACTATTTATAAGTTTCCCTTAAACTGGAAGTGACTTTGTACACTTCGAAAAACACAAAACATCTATCGAGAGCTCAAGATTTGTATAAATTTGAAATAAAAAAAATTATAGTTTAAAAAACTAAAACCTCGCTATTATAATTTCCATTCGTGCTGTCATTAGGTATGTAACTTGAGAATAGAAATCGCTGCATCTTTTAGGAGCATCAAAATTACATAGTTACATCCCGAGCTAATAAAAGGGAGGTAAAAAGACCGGTTTTGTTAGATAAAAAAATACAGTTCATTCGATGTACGCGATTTCAAAAGAACCGCCTATAGACATCCAAAAGTAACGGTGGAAATCGGATCGATCACCCTAGTATATACACTTGTGGGATAAATAAAAGGTGCAAATTTTAAAATAATATATTTTCAAGACAGCACCCACCAATTATTGCAACTCATTTTGCACAACAATGCCGGCGGGACTTCTAATCAAGAAAGTTGCTTTTAGTGAACTCGCAAAAGCAAGTAAATAAATAACTGTAAAGCTGAAGTAGGTACATAAATATGTAGATTCAGCAGCCAATACTGCCACAGAGCTAAACACTTCCCCGCGCGCGCGCTGTAATGGTGCATCCAGCTTCATTTGGCTGACTTAACATCTTCATTACGATGACTTGAAGTGAAATGCAACGCCAGTTCACACAGCGATCATTTTCTCACATTACAAGACATTTTTCAAGCTTTATAAGTTTTCCTTTCCTATGCTTCTTCCTTCGCTTGTGCCCCTTGCTGACAGCATTAAGATAAGTATTCTGAGCAGTTCACTTGTTTACAATGTGTTTTTTTTGTCATAAAAATTGCATAAACATCAAAATTTAACAGCAGCTGTTTTCCGCCAAGTCAATGTCAATGTGAATGGTTAAAAGCTGACGTGAATGCTATAAACTTATGTACGAATGTTTGCAGGATGCAAGCATTTACGCTTTTAGATTTCAGCGCATATTATTCATATATTCCCCCTTTCTCGATGGCTTGGTATATGAAAACAGTTTTACTCATATTCTGGCGCACGAATTTCCGCTTAAAGAGAATTTTTTAATGTGAATTTTCCACAGCGCATTTCAACACTCGGGGTAAAAATAAAAATAATTGGACTCAAATTGCATCTTTCTACATTTTGCATATTCAGTATTATTTAGAGTTTCAACATGAATGCGGTGTTACTGATCCATATTTTGAGATAAAATGAATTTATCTATGTTTTTGGAAGAATTTCACAAACTAAGTACAGTGACAGCCGAAATTCACCTGACTAGAGTAAAGTGACGAAAAAATTAAGACGCTCTTGATTCAGTGGCGCAACTATACCATCTGAGGCCCGTGGCAAATTCTTGGGATGGGGCCCTCCTAGTTAAAATCATACATTCTTCAGAAAAGCAGAACGACATAAAATAAAGTATGTATATCGTCGCTTGGCGCGCAATACTTCGTATCCGCCAAAAGGCAATACCACGTATAAGATAATCCGACAATTTCCCGAAAGAGCGAAGAAACTTATTTTCTTCAAAACTTTTTAATAGTTTCTTAACTAGTTTTACTAAATATGAGCTTCTACTATAATTATGCACTATTAAATTTGTGAAGTAAGGCAGCATTGAGACAGGGTTACCAAAAAATATTGTTTTCTATTCCACCTCATACGCTGTATTGTATTTGACTGATATGAGAGTAAGAGTTTCCTCGAAGACTTAACTGCAATTAATGCCTCTTGGAAAAAAGGCGACTATAACTCGAGGGGGGTAATTGCTCATAACAAGTACAAGCATTTGAAAGCTCTTACATTTTGTATACCTTTAGGCCCCACTGCTTTTCATTTACATAGATAATTTTAGCGACAAAAATTTAGCGTAGCGATTGTCAGAATTCCAGTTAAGCCCTTGGTGGAAATGGGCTATAAGTCACCGAGTCCAACAAGTCCCAGCATATAATGATGAGATAGAGAAAAATCCTATTGGAATTTTACTACCATGTATGAATACTAACCATTAGGCGTAGTTTGATTAAGGCCCAAAAATGTTCGCTTCTCTAAGTTTTAAATAAATTTTTACCCCCATTGTTTTCAAGATTTCGGCATTTTTACAACCCTCTTCGTTCAGTATTGATATTTACTGATAACTTTATCAAGCTGATATTCTCATAAATTTAAGAGCTCTGATACATGACCGCTCTTTTCTCTTACACTTTGTAAACGAGTTTCCATACAAATTTTGACAGTTGATTTGCAAAGTTTACACAATTATAATTTTATACGGTTTATAATGCATTTATAAGATTTGATGAATACCTTATTATGTTTGTTTACAGGAATTTGTTAAATGATAGGCAGAACAATTCCATCGAACGCTCCTCCCAGGAGTATTTACAGCTACGTGATGCACTTAGGTAAGTGCGGTTGAAAAATTAATTTTTAGGTTTGAAATTCTGCCTGAATACGGAAGTTTAAATCTGGTTATTTCTTACCAAATCGAGCTGCGAACGCGTTATTCAATCACTTTTTTATCTATCACTTCCATTTCTTTCGAACAGGGCTGTCGAATGACACAAATTTTGGCTGTGTTTCGTGAATGGTCGTCACAGTTGAGTACTAAATATGCGGAGGCAGGTGAACGACTACGCAAAATGAATGATCAACTCACTATGAACCTCTCCTCCGACAATTACACAACGCTGGCGTAAGTACAAAATAAATTTATTTCGGCAAATTATTCATGTGTATTAGGGCTGAGAGTTCTATCCGGATTTTCGAATACCTGATTAAAAAATTCGAATAGCCGGATGACAAAACGAACGAATATTAGCGAACAAATGCTACCATCTAAGAAATAACAATAAAATAACGAATATTCGAACGAATATTCGGATATGTGAATAGTCCCAGCTTTAATGTATATTTTACAAATCGTTATACAAATAGCCACCAATTTATTTCAATTTCATTAAAAATAAAAGTTATTACAACTAGAAAATCATCTATCTTCAATCAAAAATTCTCTCTTAAATCAGTGATGCTGGAAAATCGAGTGAGCATGCAATCGGTTCCGACAGTGAAGACCACGAAATTTATTTAGGTAAATTTAAAAATAAAGTTTTTGATAAATCACGTTTTATAATCGAAGAGCATATAACCAACGATCCTGATGTCATCAAGGGGAGAAGAAAGGCTGTGCAGGTAAGAAAATAATGGAAGATAAAATAAAGAAAAGCACATTGACCAGATCATCCGCTAATGAGGTGAGCTAGTAGCTAGTTTGACCTACAAGGCTTGCGTGCACGTCGATACTTATATATTTATGTAAGTCCGTGTACGTCTATCGCACAGTAGTTCCCAACTGGGATTTAGTGTTCACAATTCACTAGAGCCTTCATTTTCTTGCAAATTTTATTCATTTCTTTTAATGAAAGCTAATTAAATTTGCAAGAGACCAGCTGAGCCGAAATTTAAAATTTTTGTTTATTATTTTTTTTGTGCAAAGTGCAGAAAAAGTAGCAACTTTGAAGAAAATCGATTCTCCTGTTGAAAACAATTGTAGGGTTCTACCAAAACGAAGAAATTAAAAAAAAAAGATTTCAATATTATTACAAAATTTTCACCAAAAAAATTTTTTTTTTTTNGACCATTAAATTCTAGTATGATAAAGTGCAAATTGCAAGTGGCTAAGGGTTCGCGTTGATTCTCAATAATATAACAAACTCTTTTATTTCCCATTTAGCATGCAGAAGTGCAAAGTGCGAAAAAATTATTAAAAATCAACGCGTCCTCTTAGCCACTGCATGCCCAAATTTTTCTGGACACTAAACATTTTTTTTTATACCCGAGCGCACTTGTGCACAAGGGTATTATAA